CTCTCCTGGACCCCTTTGCCCTTCATGTTATTCTCCCAGGGGATCCTGCCCATCTGTTCCCTGAGGGAGTCAAAGTCTGCTTTTCTGAAGCCCAGGGTCCGTATTCTGCTGCTCTCCTTTCTTCTTTGTGTCAGGATCCTGAACTCGACCATCTCATGGTCACTGCCTCCCAGGTTCCCATCCACTTTTGCTTCCCCTACTAATTCTTCCCTGTTTGTGAGCAGCAGTTCAAGAAAAGCTCTGCCCCTAGTTGGTTCCTCCAGCACTTGCACCAGGAAATTGTCCCCTATACTTTCCAAAAACTTCCTGGATTTTCTGGGCACCGCTGTATTGCTCTCCCAGCAGATATCAGGGTGATTAAAGTCTCCCATGAGAACCAGGGCCTGCGATCTAGCAACTTCTGTTAGTTGCTGGAAGAACGCAGCTCATCCACCTCATCCCCCTGGTCTGGTGGTCTATAGCAGACTCTGACCACGACATCACCCTTGTTGCTCACATTTCTCAACTTTATCCAGAGACTCTCAGGTTTTTCTGCAGTTTCATACCGGAGCTCTGAGCAGTCATACTCCTCTCTTACATACAATGCAACTCCCCCACCTTTTCTGCCCTGCCTATCCTTCCTGAACAGTTTATATCCATCCATGACAGTACTCCAGTCATGTGAGTTATCCCACCAAGTCTCTGTTATTCCAATCGCATCATAGTTCTCTGACTGTGCCAGGACTTCCAATTCTCCCTGCTTGTTTCCCAGGCTTCTTGCATTTGTGTATAGGCACTTAAGATAACTCATCGATCGTCCCTCTTTCTCAGTATGAGACAGGAGTCCTCCCCTCTTGTGCTCTCCTGCTTGTGCTTCCTCCCAGGATCCCATTTCCCCACTTACCTCAGGGCTTTGGTCTCCTTCCCCCGGTGAACCTAGTTTAAAGCCCTCCTCATTTAGGTTAGCCAGCCTGCTTGCGAAGATGCTCTTCCCTCTCTTCGTTAGGTGGAGCCCGTCTCTGCCTAGCACTCCTCCTTCTTGGAACACCATCCCATGGTCGAAGAATCCAAAGCCTTCTCTCCGACACCACCTGCGTAGCCATTCGTTGACTTCCACGATTCGATGGTCTCTACCCAGGCCTTTTCCTTGCACAGGGAGGATGGACGAGAACACCACTTGCGCCTCAAACTCCTTTATCCTTCTTCCCAGAGCCACGTAGTCTGCAGTGATCCGCTCAAGGTCATTCTTGGCAGTATCATTGGTTCCCACGTGGAGAAGCAGGAAGGGGTAGCGATCCGAGGGCTTGATGAGTCTCGACTATGTATCTTTATTTAAAATGCGTTACTTTGGGTGTCACCCCCCAACTAGCCCTTCAGGTACAACGAGAAGGCGAGACAGTGCTAATGGGCCATTAGCAAAGACAATCGTCTGTAAAAGAGCTTAGTCTTCCTGTGGACGCTCGAGGCAGCCTACGAGCAATGGCTGCCACAGCCCTGCAGAGACATGGGTCTGAGTCACCTAGTACTGGACACCCCTCCTCCCCTTTTGGAATGCCAGAGTTTTTCCACTGGAAGACAAAGGGTTCCTGTGTTACACAAGAGCTATATAAGGCAGGGGAGTGACATCATCGTGATTCTCCTCTGCCTCCCCACCCAAAGAGACCTGGAAGCAAGAACTGAAGGGGGGGGGGGGAAAGGGTTGAGCTCAAGCTGGAAGGGCATCTAGCTTGTGAGTAATAATATCTGAGGTCTCAAGCTGGAGACCAGTGCAGCTTCCTTTCAAGACTTTCTGTAATCTGCCTGCAACAATATCTAGGGTGAGAAATTACTATTTGTAACCAATTTCTTTAGTGAAACAAGCTTAGTTTGCGTGTTTTGTTTTATTTGCTTAGTAATCTGCTTTGTTCTGTTTGCTGTCTCTTTAACCTTTTGTAGTTAATAAACTTATTTCTTGTTTATAATAACTCCATTGGTGCAATTCATAATTGGGGGGCAGGTAAGAGGCTGTGCATACCTTCCTTCACATTGAGGGAGGAGGCAGATTTCATAATATACCTTTGGGTCTGCACTCCAAGGGAGCTGGACACCTGAGTGCTGGGGAAAGTCCCTTAAGCTATCTTCCCAGAGCTGATTTCAGTGTCTGTGTCATTCTGCAGTTGGACGTGGCCCTGCCTGTGGGTGTGCTGGAGGAGGCTTAATAGCCTGGCTCAGCAAGACAGGTAAAAAGGGGGCCCAGGATGGCAGAACAGGCGGGCTCAGTGATATCTCAGGATATCAAGTGGCATCTTAAAGGGGGCAACCCATCACAACATTATTCAAAGGGGAGGGAGGGGTGTAACTAGCTTCCTGGACTTGATTTGATCTCTAATCACGTCATGATATTCATTAAAGAAATGGGGCTGCTCAGCAGAGTATGGGGTAGATTGGGGTGGCCAACCTGAGCCTGAGAAGGAGCCAGAATTTACCAATGTACATTGCCAAAGAACCACAGTAATATGTCAGCAGCCCCCCATCAGCTCCCCCCCACCGCTTCCAGTGCCTCCCGCCCACCGGCAGCCCCGCCAATCAGCGCCCCCCCTCCCTCCCCAAACCTCCTGATCAGCTGTTTCATGGCATGCAGGAGGCTTGGGGGGGGGGGGGAGGAGCGAGGACACGGCCGGCTCAGGGGAGAGGGCAGAAAGGGGTGGAGTGGGGGCAGGGCCTGCGACAGAGCCAGGGGTTGAGCAGTAAGTTTCCCCCTTCCCCCCCCCCGGCACATTGGAAAGTTGGCGCCTGTAGCTGCAGCCCCAGAGTCGGTGCCTATACAAGGAGCCACATATTAACTTCTAAAGTGCCATATGTGGCTGCGGAGCCACAGGTTGGCCACCCCTTGGGTAGAGAGTAAGGAAAACCTAGGTATGGCCCCAAAACTAAATGAATACATTGTCTCAGTCTTCAATAAAAAAGATGACACAGCTGACAGAGGCAAAGGCAGGACGGCTGATGGAAACGAGTGTATAGAAATGAAAATGGACACATCTGCGATAGAAAGAAAGCTCACGGAGTTTTATGTGTACACGTCAAGGGGCTCACATAATCTCCACCCCAAAATACTGAAAGAACTGGCACATGAAAGTGCAAATCCAGTTGTAATCCCTGGAGGACAGCGAATGGCTCACTTGACAATTGCCCTGTTCTGTTCATTTGCTCTGAAGCTGCGGGCACCAGCCGCTATCAGAAGACAGGCTACATGGACCATTGGTCTGATCCAGTGTGGCGGTTCTTATGTAATAAATTATCCAATTGTGGGGTAGTACCGTGTGACTGAAGAATAGGAAACATAGGGCCTACATTGAAGAAAGCAGGGGGAAGTAATCCAGGAAACTACAGACCCATTAGTGTGACCCCCAGTACAAGACTTTAGAACAACTTTTGAAGGAAAGACTGAAAGACATGGTGGAAAATGTGATAAAATGCAACATGACTCTCTGTAGGACTCCCTTATCCCCATTTACCACTATACCAATCTTTGTGTTATTCAAGTTTTATCAGCAATGATTTTGTATTTATTTCGTTACCTCACTGATAAAAATATTGAAGAGCATCAGGCCAAGTACTGAGTCCTGTAGAACCCCACTAGAAACACCCTGATTTGATTATTCCCCATTGACTACTTTTGGAGATCTGTAAGTTAGCCAGTTCTTAATTAATTTAACGTATTCTTTATTAGTATTGAATATTGCTAATTTTTTAATCAGCATGCTATGCAGTACCAAGTCAAACGCATCGCAAACATCTAAATATATTACATGTATACATTTATCTTTATCACCGAAACTTGTAATGAGGTTGAGCTTTTCAAAACTGTCCAGAGCACGTAAGCAAATAATTTCTTAAAGTTAAAGGATGTGTCTAAAACCCCTTGGCTGCTCTGCAAACCTGAAGCTAAATTTGGGGCACCAGGCTCACAGTTCAATCAATGACTTCAAATAGCACACACCCTTCCTAGTTTAACCTGAATGACACAGCAACGTGAAAATGCTATAGTTGCACGTCCTTAATCCTGCCGAGTCACTGAGTCAGCTAGCACTTGGAGAATGATTTGGTTTTCCTTTGATTTAGAAAGTTCATGAAGTTTACCACAGAAATATAAGCAGAAGTCCATGTAGCAGTGTTCTCTCTCTGAAATCTTACCCTACAATCCCAAAACCCAGGACAAAGCGGCTGGTTTATTATTCAGATATGTCATGCTGTTTTCTTTTAACTCACAGAGTCCAATGCTTTCACATGCATCAAGATAATGAAGTTTTAAAAAGACAATGATTATTCATTATGCATTTTTAGCTAAAATAAATGCATTTCAAGTCCCTCCCACCAACAGCTAACTTTTGTAATTATCTGGTCCATATCGAGGACCATATTTGCTGACACTCAGTTTCCAATTTTTTTTTCCTGTACACTATGTTAAGAACTTGACTTTTGTATTAAGGCAGCTTGTTCTAATTTTAAGCAAGTTTCACAATCCCATTTCTTGAAAGACCTTAATAAACTTCTCACCTGAGTCTTAATCAAATGTACTTGCAGTGTGACCAGTAAGTCTACAGCAAGCAATAGAAACTTGCAAAAATGTATACTTTACTGTCCTCCCTCATTAAAGTCTCTACAGACAAAAGACAATACAAACATCACACTGAAAAACATGGAATAAATTTAATTGAACATGAATATTGATTATAGCAGTTCAAGTACATTTACTTTTTGCAATTTGACTATGGATTTTATCTTACACAGGAAACACCCTTATACTTCCTGCAAAATGAAACCTCCACAGCAGCACCAGCCCAGGCCATCTTTCATTGCCAGGCCGTGAACAATTTAAACTGTAAATGCAAGCAGGAAAGTAATCTTTTAAAAGGAGGGAGAAAGCTGCCCGGGCTGTAAACTTTTACATGTGGCACGAAGGGCAAATCCTGTAGTCCAAATCATAGTGAGAAACCACTAAAACTGGATAAAATGCCTGAGAAAATGGGCACAGTTCTATCTACCTAGCTGTCCTCTCAAAGGTGCAGTTCCTAGTTTGTTCCTCCCTTTTGGAGAAAGCTTTTTCATTGAAATACATTGCAATGTTCCATATTCCAGTCAAAATTTAAATTAAAAAACAAACCATGAGTTTCTGTGGGAAAGACATCTGGTGACAAGAGTTATGCTCACATTTTACAGTTCAGGAACCAAGATGAGACTGCCCATGAGTCAGGACTAAAAATCAGAAATGGAAAGACTGTGGAATCGCCATCCCTGCGTTACAGTGGGAGGAAGGACCAGAGGAAGCTGTAATGCACGGAATGTGACAATAATTGCCCATTGCTTTAAATAAGGTGTTAAGATGAATCCATGACATGTTCAAGTCCACGCGCCGGTGCCTCTGGCTTCATGTTGGTACATGTTAAGAGCTGTGGAATGGTTGCGCTGAGGAATCCTGGCCACCAGCTGGGATGGCCTCGCAGAGAGTCCCAGCTCGACTCAGGATGCTACTCATGAGAAACACGGTCCAGGGCTATGTAGAAGCTCTTCTTATCATCTAGGCAGTGCCAACCAATTGGCCCAATCTCACAGTCTGCACATATGAGGAACTTTACATTCCCAACGTCCTTGGTGAACCCAATATTCTCAAAGGAAAACATGTTATCTACGAGCCAGTGATCCTGGAGCACGTCCCCATCCGGAGAGTTGCTGGCAAGCAGGGCCGTCTTCTTCTTCATGGAGGGAAGGAAAAGCTATCAAGGAACAAAACATGGCATTAGCCATTTATGCACACGAGCCATTTACAAACATCAGCTATCACGTCTACAGGCTCAGCTCCAATGCACTCAGAGCTGCAGAGCAGACACAAAGGACGAGAGATATCCCTGCCTCACAAGTAGGCACAGCCTAAGAGACATGCCGCAGACACACACAGCGATATAAATATAAGAAAAAAGCCATCACATGGTTGGGGGCAGCACAAGGAAACAAGGAGCCAATCCCGCAGTATGTTCAGCAGTGGTCTCAGGACACCAACAGCCTCCCTGGTCAGGCTGTTGTGCAGGTGGCCGGCCAAGGAGAGTTGTGAGCAGGATCTGAAGGGTGATGAAAGATCTGAAGGAGGACAATGAAGCAGGAAGGGGGCGTGGGGCTGGGGACTGGAGTCAGGGGCTGATCAGGAATCACTGCGGATACCAGGTGATCGGTCAGGGCCCCGCTGATGGGGGCAGTGGGCGCAGCTGCGAGGTGCCAGGGCGCGGCCTGCTGACGGGGAGGATGGAGCCCGTCCCGGGGGGGGGAAGGCAGAAAGCAACCGCTGCCGGGCCGGGCCGGGCCGGGAGCCCGGGCCGAGGGGAGGGGCCGTACCTCTCTGCGCGCGAAGGTGGCGGCGCCGGGCAGCAGCACGCGCGAGCCGCAGCGCTGGCACAGCACGGCCTTGCGGTTGCGGCCCCGCGCGCAAACCAGCTCCTCCGCGCCTGGACTGAGAGGAGCCGCTGCCGGTTCCATCTCCGCGCAGGGCGCCGCCATGGCCGCGCAGGCGCATTAGTGCCGCCTCGGCGCGCGCAGCAGGGGCCTGGGCGGGCGGAGGTTCCTCGCGGGAGGCGGTGTGGTGGCGCCGTGGGCAGCGCTATGGGGCTATTGGCTATGTGGGGCTATTGGCCTGGGGACTACCACGGGTGTGGGGATTGCTCCAGGAGCAGGGCTGAGTGGTGACGTAAAAGTCATGGGGAGCTATACGTTGGGTGACCATATTTCAAGACTGAGGGGAAAAACAACTGAGGTCAAGACTGAGGGGAAAAACAACTGAGTAGGGTTACCATATTTCAACACTGAAAAAAGAGGACACTCCAAGGGGGCCCCGGCCCCGCCCCAACTCCGCCCCTTCCCCATCCCTGGCCCCGCCCCAACTCCGCCCCCTCCCCACCCCCATTCCAACCCCTTCCCCAAAGTCCCCGCCCCAACTCTGCCCCCTCCTCTGAGCACCCCACATTCCCCCTTCTCCCTCCCGCTCTGTTCTTGGTTGGGGGTTGCTAAGTGCTTCATAAACTGTAAAACGTTTGTAAAACCTACAAAGTGAGGGTGAAACAGAAAAGTCTGTGAGCAAAACAAGCTGCTAGTGAGGGAGACATGGTTATCTATATGAGATGTTTTTATTTAAGAATCCATGGTAATACAAATAGTAATGATGATGATGGTGGTAATGCTACAAATAAGCAGTTAAGATTGGGACCTTATTTTAAACAAGAAAATAAATCTAAACCATGGAGAATGCAGTGAAAATTAATATTGATTATTAGGAATAATGGTGAGGTAGGAATAGTATCATGATGGTCAAGGAGAAGGGATTCCACTAGGGCCAGGTAGTAACCATGGTTCTATTTAGTATTTGTGTCAAAGCACATTCACCGCTTAAATACAGTTCTCTGGTTTAGTTATTTGGTACAGTAACTTGCAAACCGTGAAGCCGGTAGCGCTCCGGCAAAAGACGCTCAGGGGACCCCGAGTGCGAGTGGCTGCAGCAAAACTAACAACTTGCACCGAGATGATGTCACAGCGGGCGACCCCCCCCCCCCACACACACACACACAAATTCGGAGAGCCTTAATATAGTTGAAATACACTGAATTGCAGATTTTTGGATGAAGAGAATGGAAAAAATAGTAGCTATTTTGCTAAAAATTAAGGACAGCTGTTAATGTACAGGACTTCTGGCACTGCATTTCTAACTATATCGCTGCCTCATTCGGTGACCCTGGGCAAGTCACTAAGGCCTGCTCTACACACAGATTTTGTGCCAGGGTAACTATTTTGGTTAGGGGTATCGTTTTTTTAAAACCAATTTAGTTATCCCAGTACAATCCCAAGTGTGGATGTAATTCTATACTGGTACAAGCACTTTGATACCAAGTCCATGCCAGGAAGTTGTCCCACTTTCATTATACTGGTACTGTTAAAATGAGAGAAGTTTCATGCGCCACCAAGGCCTTACACTGGATCTGTTTCCACCTATTTATGATTTTCCACTTAGCGCTTTGTGATGCTCACGCTGAAGGAGCTCTACAAGCATAAAGTATTTTTATGGCTGTGTATCACGAGTGGGGTGCGTGGCTAGGAGCCTGACCTTTGCCTCACCTCACAAGATATGAAGGTGCAAGACCTGAGTAACGTTTCCCCTGGGTCAATGTTTGTGGACAGGGCTCACAGGGCACGCAGCAGCCCAATGGATTTTCACCAGTTCCATTCAGGAAAGTAAACAGCAACACGGGAGGGGGGAAGGGCAGGATCCTGCCCCGCAGACATACCCCAACAACATCCTCCGGGCAGCTCAACCCGACTAGCGGCTCCTCTCATTCCCCAGGCTCGCCAGCCACCCCGGACTCTCCAGCTTGCTCCGTGACTGGTGCCCGGGGCCGGAGGCGCAGCTCCAGCCCCAGGGGGACGCAAATCCGGACAGTGCCGGCTCCCGCAGCGAGCCGCCAGGTGGTACCGCAATCCCCCCGGGGGCGCCCCCCAGCCCGGCGCTGGCTGCCGAGCGGCACCCAGAGACACCCCCCACCCAAAGGACAGGGGCCCGCGCCCCCCCTCCCCCGAAGGCTTGCTGCCTCACAGGAGCAGGTTGGTCACGTTGCAGGGGCCGCTGGGAGTTGTAGTTCTCGGCCACTCCCCTCTCCCGGCTCTCCCTGGAGCACGAGGCCCGGCCGGACTACAGCCCCCAGCATGCCCCGGGCAGGAGCCGAGTGTCGCACCGAGATGATGTCACAGCGGGTGGCCCCCCCCCCCCACACACACACATTCGGAGAGCCTAGCCTCCCTATTTCCCCGGACATGTCCGGCTTTTTGGCAATTCCCCCCGTACGGGGATTTGGGGACCAAAAAGTCGGACCTGTCTGGGGAAATCCGGACGTACGGTAACCCTACAACTGAGGAGAGTTGGCAGTTTTTCAAAGTGTTACCGCCTGAGGGGCTCGAGGCGGACTTCAAATGGTCCGTTGGCCCGGCGTGCTTAGCACCAATAAAGACACCGAGGGGAGAAAGCAAGCCAAGTTTATTTCAGAGCTCTGAAATGACACTAGGAGACCAGCATGTCTCAAATCCAGTGCAACAAATACAAATAACTTTTACTTTTTATACCCCAAGCAGTTTCTGTGTAAGCCTTTGTTTGTTAACTCCCTCTTACTACTCCCACCCCTCCCTTCTCTAGCCGTTACAATTAGAAAAGTTCCCATACACCTGCTTATCTTTCGGCCTTGCAAGGCCTGTTTACAGCAGCTGCCTGCTAGAAAAGCTGACCCTTACATTTCTACTTCAGCCTGTAAGCAGTTTAGCCCAGAAGTAGGTGAGAGTTTACAAGATGGAGTCTGGGGGTTCAGATAGGCCCAGAGCAAAAGAGCTTCATCGACACTTTGGCCTTCCACTCTCCCGAGTTACCTGGTAGCTATGCCCAGTGGCCCCCAACAAAAGGGACACTATTAAGGGCCCAAAAGCAAGCTATTCCGCTGGTTAG